CTCCCCAGATCTTTTTCCTTTTCGAAGTTACCAAGAGAATCCGTCAATAATCTGGGATTTCTTAGACTAGGGTGGACAAGGTGTCACTGTGTGTGAAAGTGGGGAGAGTAGGAATGAGTGGATCGGTTGAGGGAGAGAGTGGAGGAGAGGTGAAGTGGGGGTGGGGGGTGAAGAAGAATGAAGGGGGGGTTACTGTTCTGGGGTGATTGAAACCCTTTTGGATTGTATTATTCTGCTCTTTCTCCTGTTTCTGAGTGTGTGCATGCCTGTGAATACAGAAATGGAAACCCTTATGCACAACCTCTTTAACGCCCCTCTCTACTCATTCTTCTTCACCCCCCCCCCCCCACTTCACCTCTCCTCCACTCTCTCCCTCAGCTGATCCACTCACTCCTACCCTTCCCACTTTCGCACACAGTGACATGTCCACCCTAGTCTTGGAAATCCCAGACATAGGGCAGCAACAGCATTTGGTCTGGGATTAATGACATATTCTCTTGGTAACTTCGAAAAGAAAAAGAAAAAACACATGCACACCGATGTCTTGACTGATGTTGTCCTGACAAAATACAAGGATACTTTTAAAGAATGTTTCTGATGTGGCCAATCTACACTCTTAGAAAAAAGGGTTCCAAAGGGGTTCTTCGCTGTCCCCATAGGAGAACCCTATTTGGTTCCAGGTAAAACCCTTTTTGGTTCCAGGTAGAACTATTTTGGGTTCCATGTAGAACCCTCTGTGGAAAGGGTTCTATATGGAACTCAAACGGGTTCTACCTGGAACCAAAAGGGTTCTACCTAGAACCAAAAAGGGTCCTTCAAACGGTTCTCCTATGGGGACAGCCTAAGAACCCTTTTAGGTTCTAGATAGCACATTTTTTCTAAGAGTGTACTGTAAAAATGTTGTCTTTTGACATCATAATTAATCAAACAGACGTTCTGCGTCAGAGGAGGAAAACTAGAACACACACGTAGAAAATCCTGTGTGTGTGTGTGTGTGTGTGTGTGAGAGAGATTTCATTTCAAAAAGTTGCTAGAACTTGGTTAATTAATTAATGATGTGGTTGAGTAAATATGTTGTCATTAATGATCAGTTTAATTAGTGCCACTCAAAATTAATATGATTTATAAAGGATGCTGCATTAAAACCCACCCAGATAAGAGTAGTTATTTTGTTAAGTGTCTATTTTCTCTGAGTATATCATGACAATATTTTAGCGAATATTTTAGTGGTTTTAAGGCTTTATCATTATAAACATATATAGTAAGTATGTAATAAATGTAGTATCACATTACTTTACCATTGTACCATTCAATGGGTTTTGCTGATTTTATTAATCACCTTTCCTCATCCACACCCAATTGTCCTACAATTTTTAACATGCAGTGCTGGGGACCGGCGAAATGTCCCGACTTGTCAAAAATGTTCATTGTTTTACTTACGAGGACTTTTGGAACCCAAAATTATAGTAAAGTTAGACGACACACACACACACACACACACACACACACACAATCAAAGACAAGTCCTGAGACAACCCCTGTACCCCCATACTCAAATGAAAAGAGATGTAGGACCCTTCATCACTCTCCTCAGAAGGCATGTAGGCTTTTTGTAGGCTCCACCTTAGGTGCCTAGATGCACGCTAGGACTCCTGAGTGAATTGGTTACTCTGAAAAACTTGGCTACAACAGCCAAACCCTTCATCTCCTGCTCACAACTCACACAAATCAGTTTAGGCAATATTGAAAAAGTCTGATTGTCATTAATTCCTGAGATACTGCTTTGGTTTTATATTTTTTTATATTTTTTTTAAGTGATCTATTTTCTGTGTTGCTCCCTTTGCGTTGTGGTGGCTCCCACTCGCCCTGAACAAACACATTACATGTGAACTTTAATGATGACGGAGCCCGACACCGAACATGAACTCCCTGATGCTCATCTGGGATTACGTCAGAGTGATAAGTTAATACGACCCAAATCTGGGTCACGAATCAATTTAGAATATAGAGCTATTTAGAACCGAGACAAAAGAGGGGAACACATTCTATTTTTTCACAAGAGAATGACTATGTTGGTATACCCATCCGAAAGGGTTGATGGTTACGTTGGTCTAGTTTCGGCTGCATGGGCTTCCCAAAACAAGTTGGGCCGTGGACTGTTTTGAAGTCAGCTAGCATTCCTCTTGACACAATAAGGTGAAATAAATGAAGCAACGAAAGAGTCTGGACCTTCAATTGGAACTCCACCAAAAATATACTCTCATATTTACTAAAATCTTTGTAATTCAGCTTGATATTTGTCAAATGAATGTGATGTATCATGAGTTGAAATATTTGGATGAAGCAGGGTTACATCAAATATTATTTCATATGATTTCATGTTGAAAGTGTTGTTCAAATTATTTATGAAGGGATTGATCTTTATGAATCAAAATGGTAATAAATCAAATAATTCTCCTTCTTAAATGCAAGAAAACATAATGACCATCTTGATAATAACATTGGTCAAAATAACATAATTTGCTTATCGTACATTTCCCTCAAAGCTCAAACCGTGGGCCATTTCTTTTTCCACTCCTCTCATCTCCTCTCTCCCTCTCTCCCTCTCCCCCAGTGAAGGCCAGCTCAAACTAGATATCTGGACACACCCAAAAATGTCTCTCACTAATCCCATCTTGGCAAAGAGCCTAAACCAGCACCTCCAGGTTGGCTCTAGGCCAGGCTGCCGCTGTTCCCTGGCTGCCCAGAGACGAGGGGACCAGGCAGAGATGGGTCAGGAGGAGAGGGGGCCTGGGTCTGGATGGCTCCGGTACAGACACAATGCTGGCAGTCGGACAACAGACACTGATCAAGACAAATCGTTCCCACACACTCATTAACATACACTTCTATGCATACTTGTTTGCTCAATCTTAGTAATATAGTTTTATCTATGAGCATATATTGCCATCCACAAGGATACACTGTGTAGAGGTGAAAGTTTTATGCAAGAATTAGAAGCGCCAGAGTCAATCCAGGAGCTAGAAAGCTTTATAGACTGCCACTACCAGGCCCTGTTGGACTTGAAACATGTCAAAGGCAGCATCCGTGATAGCTCCGTCATACGCTCTCCGCGCAAGAATTAACGACCCCGGCCTTGTTCATCCGACACCACTGGCAAAGGAGAGTCTTTCAGCATGGAGGCCGTGGACGGTGCCAGGGACGTGCTGGAGTCTATCGACAAAAACTGGCGAAACTGGAGATGATAGAGACAATCCAACAGAGCATCACAGCACTGGCAGCCAGTTTGGTGTTCAGACAAAAGGATATAGACAAACTGAAGAAGGAGAATGAATCTTTGAAAGGTACTGTACGTAACATTCAGAATGGAGTTGAGACAATTCAACAGGAGAACAGAACACTGAAAGAGTCACTGCTTGATGTACAATCTCAGGGAATGAGGGACAAGCTAATTTTGGGGGGGATTCCTGAGACAGACAATATCGAACCAAAGGATAGTGTGAAGGAATTTATGAGTGAAAAGCTGAAACTGCCCTCCGATGTGGTGGAGAAAATCACCTTCTCAAGGGTGCATAGAATGGGGAAATCCTTCGGAGGCAGACCTCACTCAATTATTGCGTGCATTGAACATTTCAAACCTAAGGAAATGGTCAAAAGCAGGGGCAGAGAATGAAAAGGAACTAACTATGGGATGAATGACCACTCTCCCCATGACATAAACGAGAGACGCAAAGTACTTTATCCTGTCATGAGAGAACACAGGGGCCAGAGCGACCGAGTTGCACTGGTTGTGGACAAACTGTACATAAATGGCCAGCTGTTCAGAGACACAAAAATGATCCCCTGGCTCTTTTAGGACCATTCTATTACTGATAGACAGGTCAGCATCAGTGGTTATACTATTATTAGAAAGGACAGGAACAGACAAGGTGGTGGTGTAACAATATATACAGTATACTTTTAATCTGAGGGATGACTTGGGCAAAAATGTAATAGAAATACTATAGCCACAGGTTCATTTACTATTTCAACCACCAATATTGGTTGGGAGTGTGCACAGGCCACCATGTCGAAATGTATCTTACCTGTATGATATACACTGAGTTTACAAAACATTAAGAACAACTTCCTAATACTGGATTCACCTGGTCAGTCTATGTCATGGAAAGAGCAGGTGTTCTTAATGTTTTGTACACTCAGTGTATGTTCAAGTATTGACCATGCCACTGATGAAAACAAACAGTTCTACATTCTTGGAGATTGTAATATTAATTGGAAGGACAAGAATGACGGCAACAAATTCAGACTTGCCAGATTCACTGACAGTGTAAATCTAACGCAAATGGTTTATGCCACAAGAAGATCATCCAGAAACATCTTTGGCAACCAAACAGAAACATGTATCGATTTGATATTTTGCAGTAATACAGAAAAAAGTACATAGGCTAATCAATTCATACTATTATTACAATAACTAAGAAAACAAAGGTCCCAAAAAAATTAGTCTACCTTGAAGACAACATACAGTGCATTCGGAAAGTCTTCAGACCCCTTCACTGTTTCCAGATTGTGTTACGTTACACCCTTATTTTATTTTTTTATCTCATCAATCTACACACAATACCCCATAATGACAAAGCAAAAACAGGTTTTTATAATATTTTACAAATGTATAAAAAAAAAATGAAATATCACATTTACATAAGTATTCAGACCCTTTACTCAGCACTTTGTTGAAGCACCTTTGGCAGCAATACACAAAAGCTTTCACTGACTGCAAAACCAATCCCAAATCAGTCTGGAATACTGTAAAAGGCCTCCTGGGCACATCCAGCACATCTTCTCTATCTAGTGTGGAAGCAAATGGGGAAATAAAAACGAAACCTATCGACATTGCTAATCATTTAGCAGATTATTTTGAAAATAAGGTGAACAGTTTCAGGCAGAATATGAGACATCCTGTCAATGAAAGGGACGTGGTTTATTCTATTGACTAAATCATGGCATCAAAAGCCTGCAGTTTCACATTACCACAGGTATCAACTGATGAAGTGCTCAAAGCATTACCAGAGGACAAGTCACCTGGGCTCGATCTCATTGACAACAAACTACTTTGACTAGCAGCACCCTAGCCACTTAAGCATATGTTTTAACTCTCATTACTCCAAGGAAAGTTTCCTAATGAATGGAAATCATACAAAGTTATGTCCATTTCCAAAAGAGAAAAATAACCTTTTATGGTATCAAAGAGTAGACTAATTAGCCTAATGTCATCATTTAGTAAGATTTTGGAAGCAATTGTCAGCAACCATATATGGGAGTATATAGAACAAAAAAATATGATCACAGCCTACCAGCAAGCATACCGGAAAGAGATCACTCGACTGCACCAGCGCTGGTTGATTTAACAGATCAATTTATCTGGTCCCTTGACCCAAAGTAAAGCTGTGGTTGTGCTGCTTCTTGTATTGTAGTGCTGCTTTTGACCTTGTTGATCATGATATACGGTTGATGAAATTGTGTCAATATGGATTTGATAACACCTCATTAAGCTGGTTACAGTCTTATCTTGTCAACAGAAAGCAGTTTACATTCATAAATGGTGCCTATTCTGAACCTCGAGCTATAAACTGTGGTGTCCCACAAGGCAGCTGCCTAGGACCTCTTATGTACTTGCTGTATACAAATGATCTCCCTCTGGTGCTCTTCAATTCTATGGCAACCATGTCTGCTGACAAGACCACTGTCTATGTAACAGGCAATTCTGTAGGGCACATGAAATACGCTCTTGAAGATGACATGATAAGTATTTCAAATAGGATAACCCAAAACAAATTAGTGCTAAATACAAAGACAAAAACCAAGGCAATGCTAATATGTATGAAGAGGAGAAGACGTCTCGCTTCCAGACAAGCTAAACACCTTCTTCGCCCATTTTGAGGATAACACAGTGGCATCGACGAGGCCCACTACCAAGAACTGTGGCCTCTCCTTCTCCATGGCCGACGTGATTAAGACATTTCAGCATGTTAACCTCCGCAAGGCTGCCGGCCCAGACGGCATCCCAAGCCGCGTCCTCAGAGCATGCGCAGACCAGCTGGCTGGTGTGTTTATGGACATATTCAATCACTCCCTTTCCCAGTCTGCTGTTCCCACATTGATTCAAGATGGCCACCATTGTTCCTGTACCCAAGAAAGCAAAGGTAACTGAACTAAATGACTATCGCCCTGTAGCACTCAATTTTGTCATCATGAAGTGCTTTGAGAAACTAGTCAAGCATCATATCACGTCTACCTTACCTGTCACCCTAGACCCACTTCAATTTGCTTACCGCCCCAATAGATCCACAGACGATGTAATCGCCATCACACCGCACACTGCCCGATCCCATCTGGACAAGAGGAAAACCTATGTAAGAATGCTGTTCATTGACTATAGCTCAGCATTCAACACCATAGTACCCTCCAAGCTCATCATCAAGCTCGAGGCCCTGGGTCTGAACCCCGCCCTGTGCAACTGGGTACTGGACTTCCTGACGGCCCGCCCCCAGGTGGTGAAGGTAGGAAACAACATCTCTACTTCGCTGATCCTCAACACTGGGGCCCCACATGGGTGTGTGCTCAGCCCCCTCCTGTACTTCCTGTTCACCCATGACTGCGTGGCCAAGCACGCCTCCAACTCAATCATCAAGATCAAGTCAACAACAGTAGTAGGCTTGATTACCAACAATCACGAGACCGCCTACAGGGAGGAGTTGAGGGCTCTGGGAGTGTGGTGCCAGGAAAATAACCTCTCACGCAATGTCAACAAAACAAAGGAGATGATGGTGGACTTTAGGAAACAGCAGAGGGTGCACCCCCCTATCCACATCGACGGGACCACAGTGGAGAAGGTGGAAAGCTTCAAGTTCCTTGGTGTACACATCACTGACTAACTGAAATGGTCCACCCACGCAGACAGTGTGGTGAAGAAGGTGCAACAGAACCTCTTCAACCTCAGGAGGCTGAAGAAATTTGGCTTGGCACCTAAAACCCTCACAAATTTTTACAGATGCACAATTGAGAGCATCCTGTCGGGCTGTATCACCACTTGGTACGGCAACTGAACCGCCCGCAACCGCTGGGCTCTCCATAGGGTGGTACGGTCTGACGAATGCATTATCGGGGGAAAACTACCCGCCCTTCAAGACATATACAGAACCCGATGTCACAGGAAGGCCAAAAAGATCATCAAAGACATCAAACACCCGAGCCACTGCCTGTTCAACCCGCTATCATCCAGAAGGCGAGGTCAGTACAGGTGCATCAAAGCTAGGACCGAGAGATTGAGAAACAGCTTCTATCTCAAGGCCATCAGACTGTTAAATAGCCATCACTAGCACATTAGAGGCTGCTGCTGCCTATTGAAATCACTGGCCACTTTAAGAAATAGAACACTAGTCACTTTTATAATGTTTTCAGTCACTTTAATAATGTTTACATATCTCGCACTACTCATCTCATATGTACAGTGAGGGGAAAAAGTATTTGATCCCCTGCTGATTTTGTACATTTGCCCACTGACAAAGAAATGATCAGTCTATAATTTTAATGGTAGGTTTATTTGAACAGTGAGAGACAGAATAACAACAACAAAAATCCAGAAAAATGCATGTCAAAAATGTTATTAATTGATTTGCATTTTAATGAAGGAAATAAGTATTTGAGCCCTCTGCAAAACATGACTTAGTACTTGATGGCAAAACCCTTGTTGGCAATCACAGAGGTCAGACGTTTCTTGTAGTTGGCCACCAGGTTTGCACACATCTCAGGAGGGATTTTGTCCCACTCCTCTTTGCAGATTTTCTCCAAGTCATTAAGGTTTCGAGGCTGAAGTTTGGCAACTCGAACCTTCAGCTCCCTCCACAGATTGTCTATGGGATTAAGGTCTGGAGACTGGCTAGGCCACTCCAGGACGTTAATGTGCTTTTTCTTGAGACACTCCTTTGTTGCCTTGGCCGTGTGTTTTGGGTCATTGTCATGCTGGAAAACCCATCCACGACCCATTTTCAATGCCCTGGCTGAGGAAAGGAGGTTTTCACCCAAGATTTGATGGTACATGGCCCCGTCCATCGTCCCTTTGATGCGGTGAAGTTGTCCTGTCCTCTTAGCAGAAAAACACCCCAAAAGCATAATGTTTCCACCTCCATGTTTGACTATGGGGATGGTGTTCTTGGAGTCAAAGGCAGCATTCGTCCTCCTCCAAACACGGCGAGTTGAGTTGATGCCAAAGAGCTCGATTTTGGTCTCATCTGACCACAACACAGCTGCCTCTGATTGGGAACCACACCGGCCAACATAGATCTAGACCTACTAGATCGAAAACATATAACTACACAACATAGAAAATCACACCCTGACTCAACAAATAAGAGTCCCCAGAGTCAGGGCGTGACAGCAGGCTGTGGGTGCCCCCAGGCCGCCCCACTTGTTGTGTTGTTTTTTCACTTCGAAAGAAAACAAGGGGGTTAAGCCTTGAGCCGCTTTGGACTGGCTTTCAAGGCAAGGTGTGTCTTTACGCTAAATCCCACCCACTCGATTGACCCTGCTAGAGCATGGCTCCGGAGCTGGAAAGGACGTGAAGGTCACTTGCAAGTTACAGCTGCCAGAAACAAACAGAGAGCATACGAAGCCAACTTGTTTGCAGATAAACTGTCCTGATAGCAGGGACAACGTTTTCAGAAAATGTCAACAGAAACAAGCATTTTCCTCTGAATCAACTCAACCCCAAAAGAGAAGAAAATATAGAAAAAAGGTATTCCAATCCTGACTAATCCAGAATCTGGATAAACACTACATTGGACTTCCTTTTGAAAGTTTGGAAGAGTGACTAAGAAACGGCCAACGTTATCCTGTTCAGGTTAATGTTGCTGGCATTGTTGGGTGGCCTTTATAACCAAGTTAGCCTGCTAGATCTTTAGCTAGCTAGCTACCTGTTAAATGTACAAGCTAATGTTAGCTAGCTAGCCGTATTCAGTGTTTTGAACTTACTCAAAATAATCTCTACATCATGTAGCTACACTGCATAAACCCAATAAGATGCCCAAATGCCTTCATTTCAACTACCTAACGTTAGCTTGCTATCTAATCTAGATATGCAGATGGTTGACATGATACCAAGTGTGCATGCATGGTGTGCTGATGATAATGTTAGCTAGCTAGGTCGCAGTGTTTTCTCCACAGGACCACCCCCAAAAATGCATCTAGATACACAATTATGTACAGAAATGTCACACAAGCATGTATTTCTCAGGGAGATACTGTTGGAGTCTGATTTCGAGGGAACCTGAGGTTGTGGAAGTTGAGGTTGTGGAAAAATCAACACCAAAAGAGATGTAAGAAATGCTATGGAATTATTTGTAATACTTTGTGATTCAATAATTATTTGGTTGGTAATCGACCAAAATAGTTAGCAACATGTAGCTATGTTTGCATGTTCAGCACATTGCATTTATAGCATGGCATTGATTCCTATTGTGAACTTCCCAAATTGAATGACTTGATATTGAATAGTCCAGGCTCTGTCGTAGCCGGCCGCGACCGGGAGACCCATGGGGCGGCGCACAATTGGCCCAGCGTCGTCCAGGGTAGGGGAGGGAATGGCAGGCAGGGATGTAGCTCAGTTGGTAGGGCATGGCGTTTCCATTGCCAGGGTTGTGGGTTCGATTCCCACGGGGGGCCAGTATGAAAAAAATATATACATCATATATCGCTCTGGATAAGAGAGTCTGCTAAATGACTTAAATGTAAATGTAGTATCCAATATGGTCAGTCAAGTAAACAATTGCTCATCTGCATGACATATTGGTAGACTATGGGCCATCAAATAATAGTAGCTAGGTCCAACCCGTTTTGGTGATTTCTGGTATATCATCAAAATAAATAAATCACATCACATTTTTGGACTCATTCAGCAGTTTTTACCTGATTAAGTACAATCACATTGGAAATTAATGTTGAAAGTTAAATTTACACTACCAGTCATTTACACTACGTGGTCCTCTGTAGCTCAGCTGGTAGAGCACGGCGCTTGTAACGCCAAGGTAGTGGGTTTGATCCCCGGGACCACCCATACACAAAAAAAATGTATGCACGCATGACTGTAAGTCGCTTTGGATAAAAGCGTCTGCTAAATGGCATATTATTATTATTTATTATAAGTTTGGACCAAATGAAACTGGTTGGCTATTGAGAAAGGGTGGCTATTTGAAGAATCTCAAATATAAAATATATTTTGATTTGTTTAACAGTTTTTTGGTTACTACATGATTCCATATGTGTTATGTCATAGTTTTGATGTCTTCACTATTATTCTACAATGTAGGAAATAGTAAAAATAAAGAAAAACCCTTGAATGAGTAGGTGTGTCCAAACTTTTGACTGGTACTGTATATTCCTAAAACTTAAGTTGAAAATTATGCTGTTGATGCTTCCTGTTGACAAGACATATGTGACCGACCGCCTTTACTGTTAGGCCTACTGCTGCTAGGTAGCTCTCTCTGCTCTCTCCCTCCCCTCTGTCTGTTTTGATTGCAGGAGTGAAGTCTGGTGTGCGGGAGTCAGGGTTCCAGCTGCAGCTCATTCACCATATTCACCTCAGCCTTAAAGACCCGATCAAACTTGCCACTCATCGTCAGATCATAGTCAAGACGACCATGTTAGTCTCGCTGTTGACTCAACCTGCTTGTTTTCGCTCTTTGTGTTTTTGGCCTGTTCTATTTACTTTTCTCCTGTGCCACAGATTATTGGAACTTGACTCCTGCCTC